CAAAACACGCATGAAGCCTCATCGATGAGAAACACCGGTATATACCGGTATTGAGAGTTCGGTATCGGTATTCAAAAAACATCCGGTATACCGGGATACCGGTTTTCGGTATACCGGTATTGGATGCTCTAGTTACAATTTTCAAAAACTCTGGTAAACATTCTGATCCCTCTAATTATCGTCCAATCAGTCTTCTTTCTGTTATTAGAAAGGTCTTAAAGTCTTTGATAAACAAATTTCTCACATCCCATCTTAAGTCAAATAACTTGCTGTCAGACAATCAATAGAATTTTCAATCCTCTCGCTCTATGGCTGAGTTGCTAACTGCAACTCAGCTATAGAGCGAGAGGATCAAATTTTTTTAGATTATCAAATTGTTTCTTTCTAACCGCTTATGTCATTCATTCTTCTTTATTTCCAATAACTTCTGGGTCCTATTTTGTTTCTTATCTATATTAATGATCTTCCCAACAACTTTACATCTAAAATAGCTCTTTTTGCTTATGACTGAACATTATACTCCTGTCTTGACAAAAAGTCTTCCCTTTCCGATGGCTTAGAACAGACAGTTTATCTTGAATCAGATCTCGCTTCTGTAACTAAATCACAGTGGCTTGTAAATTTTAACTCCAACAAAACCCAGTTATTTACTGCAAACAACTATCATAGTTCTGTTTTTTTTTAACATCTTCACTTCCAACAAGGCTGCAAGCAACCACTATAAGAGTTGGAAGTTACTGGAAGAGAAAAGACTAAATCTGTAGAGCAAGATAACGATTGACTGATGACTTAAAAGATTGCAAATTATATGAATCAGGAAAGCAAGATGAAGGAAGCGAATTCCAAAGAACTGATGTTCGAGGAAAAAAACTAGAAGAATAAGAGTTTTTGAAGCACTTAGGAACAGTCACAGAAAAAGGATGAGACTTAATTGAATGGCGAGTAACACGAGAATGAATTTTAGTAGATGGCACAAGGGACGCTAGCTCTTTAGTGCAGTGCCCATTATAGTATTTGTAGAAAAGAGAAAGAGAAGCAACATTACGACGATGTGACAAAGGTTGGAGATTGGCTGCTAGAGCAGGTCCAACTATGTTTACAATTCGTTTTTGCACCTTGTCTAAAAGAGAAAGAGCATCATTAGAAGATCCGCCCCAGATGTGGCAACAGTATTCCATACAGGGACGGATTTGAGATTTATAGAGATAGAGAATAGAATCTGGAGTAAGAAAGTGTCGAGCTCGATAAAGAGATGCAACCTTAGCAGATGCTAATTTTGCAATGGATTTGATATACGGTTTAAAAGAAAGATCAGAAGTAAGAGTTAATCCTAGAAGATGAATGGTAGATGACTCATCTAGTACATTACCATTCATAAATATTGACATTCCTATACTGATAAATGGCAACCTTCTCACTGAGTCCTTTTCTTTATGGTTTTTTGGATTATCATTTACTACTGACCTTTCATGGAAACCATATATACTATTAATATCTATTGCTAAACTAGCATTCTCTAAGGTTGCTTCTTTTTATCATGCTCACTATTTTCTCTCTCCTGATAACATTCTCTCCCTCTACATATCTTTTATTCACCCCTATATGAAATACTGTTGTCATATTTTGGCTGGTTCTTCTAATGATGCTCTTTCTCTTCTAGACATGGTATAAAATCTCATTGCAAATGTAGTTGGACCTGGTCTATATGCTAAGCTTAGCCTCTTTCCCATCGTCGTAAAGCTGCATCTCTTTCTCTGTTCTTCAAATACCATCATTATAGCTGCTCAAAGGAGCTTTAATCTCTAGTTTCATCAACCAAAACTCATTCTCACTTGACTCGTCATCTATCGAAGTCTCATTTGTTTACTGTATCTATCCCTTAGATCCTCAAAAAACTTTTATTAATCTAGTTTTTCCCCCCGCACTTTAATCTTTTGGAATTCTCTCCCACCTTCATGCTTTCCTGACTCATACAACCTTCAAGTTCTGTCAACCGTGTCCTTGCTCTACAACTCTACTCTTTTTTTCTAGTAACTCCCAATTTAATAGTGGTTGCTCGCAGCCTGGTTGAAAGTAAATCAGAATAAAAATGAAAAATAAAAAAAATTCAATTTTGGGTACAAAAAATAAGTGCCTGTAGATGAATATTACAGGAAAAATAAATGCATGTACATGAATATTACTATCTAAAATGACTTAGGATGGTTATATTCTTGTTATCACAATAAAATTAGTCAGAACTGATTTGCAGAACAAAACAAGGTCATTTAGTTGAAAAAATTACTTCACCAAGTCAATAATGTGATATAAATAAGAAAATGACATTATGCAAAGTTATGGACTAGAAGATTTTTTTTATTAATAATGCTTTTGTTCTTATATTATTTTATGCAGTTTTATCATTCAACTCAATTTTAGTAACTTTTTAATATAACACCAATACGTCTTCTTGTTATATTCCTACTGCACCTTATTACTTTAATCTAAATTAAACTATACTTTGCTTAAATATACTTTGTTTAAATTTGCTGAAATACACTTTGGTTAATTTAAACTATTTTTTGTTTTATACACTTTGCTTTAATATATCTTTATCTAATTTAATAAGTTATTTAATTATTGAATCTTTAAAACTATATAATTTAGTCTTTTTAAATTTAAAATATTTTATAGAGTGCCATTGACATAAATTTCTAAAGAAAATAAAAATTTTACTCATACATTCTTTTTATAATTTTAATCAGAGCAAAATTTATATAATTAAATAAAATTTTGAAAAATTTTCTAACAGTTTATTCACTAAACTTGCTAGTTCAATATAAAAGAATTTTACAATAATTTTTATAAAAATATCATTTTTTACATATTATTCAAACATGTGTCATTCAAACTTTTAAATGCTCATTGGAAACACTCTCAAATTTTATAAGAATAATTTTAAAGCAGCAAACTTCACTACCTTCATTTCCTTTCTGCTCCTTATGTTGAAATCATCACCTAACAAAAAGCCATTAACCTATGAAAAAATCAGAAAAGTATTAAAGACTCATTTTAATACTTTCTGATTTCTTATTTCTGAATGATTCAAGCCAAATCAAATAAGAAGAAATAATATTGGTTCTAATGATTATAATCACATAATAGCAAGTAATCATAAATCACCGTTTACCTAAAAAATATTTTAAATGTAAGTATAAGATACTTTAAAAGTATATCTTTATCTTATACTGTATATAAAAAATATTAAAAAAAACTTTCAAAACTATTTAAAATACTACTTAAGTTTTGTTTGGATTGAAATCCACAACCACTGCAAGCCACAAGCTGTCAAGAGGTTTTATCAAGACTGTAGCATATAGTTGTGTCACCAGCAAGTAGAGTCACTTTAGACACTGATTTTCAGTAAGATTGTTAATATAGATGAAGCACAGAACCAATGAATTAACTTTGTAATACTCTAGAATTTATTGCAAATAAAGGAGATTGTTGTCTGTTATGGACCTTGAATCCTGTAAGGAAAGAAATAATTTGATATCTTTGAAATCTTTCCTGAATGTACCATATGAAGAAATTATGTGCAAGAAACCAGCATGCCAGACTTTATTAAGAGTCTTTGATGTGTAGCAATAGCGCTTGTCTTACTGTTTCCACCTAATGCACAGTAGAACCTTACTGTTGTAATATTTAAAAATCAACAGTAGAAAAAAAAAATTTAGAAATAAATAAATAAACAACTGAGAAATAACTTTAGTAATGGAATACATATCACCCTATTTACTATTTAATAGTAAATGAAGCAATATGTATGTCTAGCTTATCGATTATACTTTTTTTGGAGGGGATTTCAGGAAAAGTGTGCTTATTAGAAAATGAACCATTATGACACTATGCTTTTTCTGAACCCTAAAGAATTTAATTTCTGAGACATAATATGATTTAAAAATCTAAGAATAATGGCCCACACCATCAGATAATACCTTTTTGCATCAATTTCTTGCAATGAAAAAATATGATTATTCTCAGAATGCAGGTAAATAAAAGACAAGAAATGACTAAAATTGGATATAACAGCTAGGAAAGGAGAAAACTGTTGGGTAAAGTGAGGTTTAACTTAAAACCATTGAAAAGAAGAAAAACTTCAATTCTGAATCCAATTTGCTCAATGTTTTTTTATGTTTGATGTGGAATTACTAAAGTGAGTGATTTACAAACTAAACTAGTTATATTTTTCACACAACAGCAAAAAAACTGTCTCTATACTTTTTTCTAACACTTTTTATTTGTGCAAAAACAAAATTCTTTAACCTTAAAAAAATATTTAAAAGAAATTCGAGCCATAAAGAAATAGTGACTTATAGGACACTTAACGTCGAGGGTTTGGTGACTGAGGAAAATATTTTTCTTCTATGTGACTGAGGAAAATACTTTTTTTTGAAAAAAAAAAAAAAACAAATTACAACTTGTTTTTAATTTTAAGTAAACTTAAAACTTCAAATTTAAGAAAACTATAGCTTAATATATATTTTGGAAAATATTTTAAAAAATATTTTTAAAATAATATGATTTTCTTTAACAAAAAATTAAAAGAATGAATCAAATTTCTGGTCTGGGGTCGTTCATAAATGGTCAGAGGTGCTGAAAAATTTGAAAATAATTTGCAATGGGGAAAGGGTGTTGAAGACAAAAAAAAAATGTCAGTTTTAAAAAAATCATTTTAAAATTCATTGTAAACTAATTTTTGATTAGTTGTGTAAAATACAAGTTTTATAACAAAAAAAAGGCACTGAAAATATAAACATTTTCAAATAGTAATAAAACAATTTTTTGAATGGTACATAAATTTAAAATGTAAACATTAGCAATGTTTACATTTCAATGTGATGTTATCGCGTATTTAGGAAGTTTAGTAGTTATTAAAAACAAATTGAAAAAGTTAGTATACTTCGTATGAGTTGTATTCGGTTAGAACTATCGCACATAAGTTAAAAAAAAAAATTTACCAGTAAACCAAATTGTGCAACCTCTAAAGTTGTGACTTTTACTCAGTACTTCGCCACGTTTGCTCCTTGTGACCCTTCCTGTTTGAAATTCAACATTTGTTGCAGCAATCGTGCCATGTTTCCTAGACGCTTTTGGTGATACAGATGCCATTAAATATAGAAATTAACACCCTTAAAAACAAATTATTGTTATTATTTATATGATTTTTAACTATAAATTTTTTTGCAAATAAAATTCTTCTAAATAAATAAATAATTCGCATGTATTGATTTCTTTATTATAACATTGAACGAATCTCTCAACTTGATGACAATTGTATCTCAATACGAAACTGTTTTTTATTAAATATAGTATTAATACTTAATAGCAACAGCATTAAATCATCAGTAAAAACTAGAGGGTTCATTTGATTTCTTGATTTAACCAATGACTAGGTGACACAAGTAACCTAATTCGTCACTTGAGATTAATTCGTCACTAACGTGGGTTTTTACAAATTATTCGGAAGATAATGGCGGTTTTTTTGTTGGGTAAATTTTGTCGGGTACCTTCGTTAATTATATAAACATATTAAGGTTGCATAGTATTTTATAGCTTAAAAATTTGCTTTATTAAACTGTCTTTAGAATTTTAATTTATGTTTACACATACAAATGTAACTTATTTTACACTTGCAATGGAAAATCATGAAACTTGTCTAATTTTACTTCATGAACTCACCCATCGGGTACAGACGTCCGTGGGACACCGATACAACGTTCTTAAGGACGTTACAAGTCCGTACTAAGTCCTCAAGTTTTGTGCCCGCTGGGCAAACTCAGTCAAAATGTACAGCTCGTTCAATTCCGTTTCAGAGGATTTAACCAGATTTTTTAAAAATGACAAAAAAAAAACTTGTCTAACGTTGACATTTGAGTATAAATTCAAATAAAAGCTGTTTTGATTAAGTGATACGTATTTTGATTAAGTGATTTATAAATATTTTATTTTGATATTTTTTACCGCCATAATATTCCGAATGCCCTTATATAACTAAAAAACACAAAGAAAAACTACGGTTTAAATTTGTAATAAGTAGTCAACGCAACAACACTTTACTTTTAAAAATTCAATTAAATATTTTTAATACGTAAACAAAAAAAGGTTTTTGTTTACGTTTTAAAATTACGTAATAAAAACGTTTCATATTAATCCTAGACTTTTAATTATTTTAAGTTTTGGCTTACTTATAATCTAAACAAAAGCTTACATCAGCTATGAATAAAAGTTTTTGTTATCATTTACTTTATTAATACTCAACAAAGCTTAAATGATTTAAAATACAAATTATTATTGAAATAAAATGAACTCATGGTTAGCGAGATAAGTAACGTGCGCAATTAGCCATAATTGCGTAACTTTACGTGTCACGCCTAGTTCGTTTGTGTTTACGTTATTTATCTCTATAGCAGCCTTAAGTTGATTATTGCAGTTAATCATAAATGAAATAATAGTAATTTCATTTGAGGTTGAAATTGCACAACGCAACAAACAACAACAACAAAATAATTACTCATAAATTCTATTCAAAATTTTAATTAGATCAAAATTTATATATTTAAATTAATTTTTGAAAAATTTTCAAGCATTTTGTTCACTAAACTTGCTAATTCAATATAAAACAATTGCTTATAAAATGTAAGTTCTTTATTTATTCTTCCAAATCAATTTCATCCCTTTTAAAGTAATCCCCGTCCGATAAAACGCACTTTTCCGGTATATCCTTCAAGACCTTCTTCGAATCGGTTTTTATTTCCTCAATCGTGTCAAAAAGGCGTCCCCGCGAGTTTGTTGCATAGCCGGAAGTCAGACGGTGCCAAAGCAGGGGAATACAGTGGTTGCGGAACAATATTAGTCGAGTTTTTTACAAAAAAGTCGCGAAGAACCAATACAGTATGACATGATGCATTATCGTGATGAAGGAACCAAGAGTTTTTCGCCTATAATTCCGGCCGTTTCAGATAAATAGTTTAACGCAACTGACGCATAACGCTCAAATAATATTCTTTGTTGACAGTTTGGACTTTTTGAACTCATTGTACCACTTATAAACGTTTTCTTGTGCCATAGCTTGATCGCCAAAGGCTTTTCGCAACATTTTCAACGTGTCCGCACAAGAGTATTTGTTCCGCACACAAAATTTGATGCAAGTTTGCTCAACAAAATCACCCATCGTAGAAATCGAAAAATTTACTTTTGGTTGTTTACAAAAATATGTGTAACTCGGAGATAATTAAATTAACCAACTTACCAAAAAAAAACTACCGGCTGCATAATACCCGTGAGTTTTTCATGTCAGTTTCGCCTTACTTTTTGATCACAGTAGTATATATGTATTAGGGTGACCCTTTAAATTTAAGCTTGGCTAGCTATTTTTAACATTTTTTTGACAATATGATACTGAGAACTGGTATTCTTTATTTTTATATATAATGTTTAGTCATGTAGTTTTGAATTTAAAAATATTAGATCAATCATAAATATATTGTTTACATGAAGTTTTGCGAACAAATTTGTTACTATTTTAATCAAAAGAAAATTGTTCAACAAAACAAAAAGATTTATTTTAATCTTCAAGTCAAATTACTCAATGACATACTAAATTTAAATCATTAATTATGACATTAGGCTTTTAATGATATAATGTTTACACGTAATAAAACGTTAAAACGTAAAAAAAGTTTAAATATTGATTATAACATTTTAAGCAAAACTTTACTTAAATGGCACTCAGGTATCAATTCTCGTTGTGCTATTATAGCCCTTATGAAGCTAACTCTTCTCATACCTATAGACCGACGGAAGCCTAGGTAGTCTTTTTCAAAATTATCTCTTTCAAAATGCATTCAATAGATTAACAATGAACAGTAAAATTTGATACAACAATCAGATTATTAAATTGTATTATGTCTTGCTTCATTAAACAATAAGTAAAAACTGGTTCACTGTTTCCGAATTAAACAAAACTATCAGATTGCTTGCTTTTATATTTATCATTTGTGCTTTTCTATTTTGACATTTTCTGTCAACTGTCTCTATTTTTCTTATATCAATTGATTTTAGCACTGCAAATATCCTTTCTTGTTTATCCAATTTTCACAACATTGCCTAAAGAAATCATTCACTGTGCGCAAATCCAAGCAGATGTGTAAGGATATGACATATACCATTTTCTTTTTTTTTAAAGCAAAATTTTGCATTCAGTTTTTTTTTACTAAACTAAGAATGTCACCTTAATTCAATCAAACAACATAATAAAATTAACTCTCTTAATGAACTCTGATAGTAATTTCAAGTTGTGTAGATCTTTGTTTATTAAGTCGTGCTTAGAGCTCCATCAAACAGTCTATTTGCAAGATTCAATAATCTTGCATGATTGTGCGGGCCAATATGAGTCCACTTCAAATCATTAGGGAAAACACCTGATGCATATGATATATACATATATATATATATATATATATATATATATATATATATATATATATATATATATATATATATATATGTATATATATATATATATATATATATATATGTGTATATATATATATATATAAATATATATATATATATATATATATATATATATATATATATATATATATATATATATATATATATATATATATATATATATATATATATATATATACAGTGCTTTCAAAAAAATGGTACGATTAAAAAATATCTAAATTTGTTATTTAATAAAAAATTAAAATTGTTATTTTTTTTATTTATTACAAATTTAATTAAAAACTGATGTTAATTTTCAAATTAATTATTTTGTTGCATTTAACCCTGTTACTAGAAATTTATTTATAGGTTTATTTGCACACCAGAATCGCCTGTAGACAAAATTATATTATGTTTATATTATGGAAAGATTACTGCAAGCAGGCACAATCTATATACAGGCAAACCGCGTCTTCTTGTAGTTACGGGTTTCGTTGCATTTAACTTTTTTTTAATTTTTTATTCACAACATAATTAATTATCAACAATTCTTTTTTATTTTTTTATTTAAAAGTTTATTCTTTTTTATTTAAAAGTTAAATAAGAGTATTCTTTTTTCCTTACTTGATTAGTTCAAAATATTAGTTTAAGCTTTAAATTGATTCATAGTTTTGATTTAACATGGACGAAGTCAGCTTCTACTTTAGCCTACCTACATTACCAAAAAATTAATGCCCCTATAAGTGGTGGGGTGTTTACAATTTCACCTCCTCCGATAAAGACACTAACAAGTGGGATTTGGCAAAGTTCTCAAAGAAAATTTTGTGCGCACCTCCTTCATCCTTTAAGAGTAAACCTCTGTTCAGCACAACGGGAAACATACTTTAAGCCATAAGAAACAGGCTATTGCTTGAGCATTGAGAACAGATTACGTTTTTAAATTATAATTTGTCTGATTTCTAATAATAGATAATTAATTTAAACGCAATAAACTAATAAGTATAATAAAAATAACTTCCCTCATTTGTAATTAGTAATTACTAAATCATAGTTTTATCATACTTCAAAGTATAAACTAATGTAAACTAAACATTGTTTATAATATAATTTTAAAGTTTAGACAATTAAGTTAACGAGAAGCCAAATTAGTTTTATAATTAACACCTTAATTAAACTTCGAGCAATTACTAATTAGCTAGTCATCTTTTTTTCATATAACATTAAACTTGTTCAAACTAGCTACATCCTAAAATTCAATGGCATTGCTAAATTAAAAAAAAAACCTTGATGATTTATATATATATATATATATATATATATATATATATATATATATATATATATATATATATATATATATATATATATATATATATATACATATATATATATATTATATATGTATATATTTATTATATATGTATATATATATAACATATATGTATATATATATATATATATAACAGTAACACATATATTTATGTTACTGTTACCCGCAGTACCAGGAATAAGCTAAATACTAATGTTTATTTACACCTATAATAATAGTCGGTTATCTGCTCATTTTTACACTAAGAAAATCTGACCATTTTTTACACTAACAAAAAACTAAACAATTAACATGAATTTAAATAATAAACTAAATCCACATTTTAATTTAAGTTCTATAAAAATAAATAAATACATACCGATGTTAATATAATTATTTTTATGTGATCTTGGTTGCGAAGTATAAATTATAAAATGTGAATAGGATGTTATTAAAAATAGTTCAATACAGAAGAAATAATGTACAAATAGTTGAAATAGTTCAATAAATTGTTTAAAAACTGAGTTTTCAACATTTTTCAACTTTTTTCACACATTAAGTCGATGACTTTATCCGATGTAATGTCTGCCAACAATACCCTTTCACAGTTTATCTAAAATAAAGATTCAAAATTCTCCTTTGTTAAACAACTTCTT